GTTGCGTTGCGTTATCGGGAGACACGGTGCTGAGTAAATTAGTTTATCATTCTTTTTTCCTGCGAAAGCCTTCTTGGACCAATTGGGTGATCTTTGAAGATGAGTTTTTGGGAGGCAACTTGTTTACTTTGTCAAGTGGAAATGTTTGGGAGCCAGATTCGATGTTTGTATTTTTGTTGTTGTTGAATGTGACATTGCTGTAGGGATAGTCATGGTCAAGGTAACGATGACGGCGATGACGGCGTCGATGTTGCTCAAGGTACCTACTTACTGACGATAAGGATGTGTAGTTGGCTGATTAGTCAGATGGGATTTGCATGTCTGTATATACACCTCTCTCGTATTCTACTTTCACCACTTCGAATTTTGAAACCCTAATACGCGATAGTTGATCATCTTATCGTCACGCTTTGGCAACACGACATGTCTTCTACCATTGCACTATTTCTACTATCGTGTTTGGTACTAGATATCTACGCGCAAATGCTACTATTATTACGGTCTAATAACAGTGCTTACTCACACTGACATGCATTATGGACGTATGCGTAGCTTCCTACATATACATTAGGTAGGTACCCTTGAATTTTCACCTACTTGACCCGCAACATACATGTAGGTAGCATCTCAGCTTATTCATCACCAGCCTAGATTGATATAACCACCAATACCATCTGTTCAATAGAAGTCGAGTTTCAAATGTACGTTAACGATAAGTTTTACACAGTACCTTAGATAGGCGATTTTTTTTACTTTCACCGCTCCCCGCTCACGCTTCCGCTCCGCTTCTCGCTTCTCTCCTATTATTTGTTAATGTTTTACGCTACGCCACATCACGCCACTTTTGTTCTTGTTGTTGTTGTTTGTGTTTGTGGGGGGAAGCGTTTTATTATGTAGACTACGAGGTTTGACGAATTCAAGGTTATTATGAAGTACCGGTAGAGAAAAGGTACAGCATGCGAGTATTTTTTTTTCTTCTTCGGGAAGCTGGAATGACAAGACTACCTACCTTTCCTACCTACTCTGACTACCTTATATATTCATACGAGGTACATACTTCGAATTGAGAGGACGGTATGGGGGAGGGAGGGGGGATGTGTGGCTTCTTGAACACAGTCGAGTGAGTCACCTTTTACCTTTACATTTACATTTACATAAGCGAGAGGTGGGGAAAAAGATGGATGGACAAGCCTATCCTGTTTGTTTGTTTGTTTGTTTTTATTTCATTTTGTTTTCTGTCTGGACTCTGGGGTACGTAACGTAACGTAACGTAACGTACGAGTACGTATGCATTACATAAATGACGGTGCCAGGGGGGGGGGGGGGGGATGTAACAGATTATGTTAGGTAAGTAAGGTAGGTACGTTAGCGAGAATAGCTAGGTAGGTTAGGTTGTTTTGTACACAGTAGGAAAGAATGATGGCATGTTATTATTAGGTACAGGTAGAAGAGATGGAAACGAAAACGAAAGGGAGGAAAATAAGGAGGGTAGGTTAAAAGTGACGGACAGGATGACGATGGATGGATGGATGGATGGATAAGTGGATGAGTGGATGAATGATGATGATGTTTGTTACAGTTGCGCTTCGCAGTCTGGTTCCGTTATCTCGGTTGTGGCGAGCTGGGGGCTTGGGGCTGTGGTGGCTGATCTACTCGTAGGTACTTCCTCACATATGTATGTACATACCTCATATCCCCTTTGAGATGAGATTTGGTTGCTTCTTCACCGCTTATTAAGCGATTGTACTTGTTTTGAGATGCTTGATTTACTTGTAGGTATACCTACGTAGTAGGGACAGTCAAGTTGGAAGTAGGTAGAGAGAGATACAGATAAGTCAATCTAGGATGGGGTCGTTGAGGTTGTTTGAGCAGTTGGGTCTGGTTTGCAAAATATGTGTTTGTTTGTCTTATGAATTAACATACTTGTAGATTTGTGGAATGCTAAGCCAAATTCCATATGAGAGCAGTTATACGTATAGTGAACAAAGACGATCCGGTATTTGGTTAATTAGGTACTTGAAATTCGAGTGTTATCAACTCTGTGGTAAATGAGTAGGTGCCTTTCTGAATTATTCCGTCACAGGTATTTTACTTCGGGGTCATGTATAGGAGAATAACTCGAGTAATTATAAGGTTGGGCGGATGGAAGTGTCTGTTTTACCTACCTTCCTACCCTCCTAGAGAACATCACAGATGAGGAATATCTAGATCTTTAGTATTTACCTAGAAAGTAGGTCCGGTCTGTTATAGTATGGGCTTACTTATGTCTCGGTTATATCGATATCTTGATTAAATCTCCACCCTTGGGAAGATTATGTCTTCTGTGTAATAAACTTATTCTCTTCGTAACCATGGACTTGAAGACCTGTTACTGCTGATTATACGTGTATTGAGTTGAGCGGTGCTGAATTCTTCATGTAAAGACACGTCCTTGTCTTGTTTTTCCTCTGGCTTGAATTCAAGCTTGGCTAGTATGGTCGTTCTCTAATCTAAATGCACCCTCGATACTATGTAATTCATAGTATCAACAAATTTGTTTCAAAGCCAGCTTAGGTATTCTTGTCTTGAGATTTATTTTCAAAATGCCGATACCGGTTCTAAGCTTTTTGATCTACGTCCTTGGAAAATCTCATAAACCCATCCCCAGGTGACTGGAGTAAGTAGAGAGGATAGAGGTAAAGTAATGTCAAAGGAGAGCCAAGCACGGCGCAAAAATATATATCAATTTCCTTCCTGCCATTCGACCATCATGGTCGTGTCAGGATCTTTCTGCCGTGACCTTATCTTGACGTCTTCGAAGCAACAAGCTTTCTTTAGCTTTCTTTTCCCCTGGTACAGCCAGGGGCATTGGAATCCAGCTAGCTTTCTCGACCGTCTTACCCCTTCTTTCTTTTCGTCTTTTCAGAAGTCAAATCATCCCATCATATAGGAAATAACATATCTGGAATCGAGTCAGTTCCCTTGCTCACTATATCGTCAGTTAACCCAGGAACATGGATCGCGTTGCCCTGGTTGGTGCCTGAGAGTGTTGAAATAAACTTTCCCGACGTATCCGTTTCCGTGCAATTAAACACTTGGCCATATGTGTTGCCTTGTATAGTGCGATTCCCGTGATAGTGAAGATAGATAGACAAACAGGCTGGTCTTAATGAGCCCGGATATTTGTAAGCAACAGATTGATAATAAATACGACTCTATATGACAAGAAATATAGCGACAACAGCAGCAACAAAAAGAGGAGAAAAGACCCAGGAGGAGGAAAGAAAACCATCATATAGTCAGAATGAGTGGACATGAATGATGTATTAGATTAGAGTAGATTAGACGAACTATCGTGTAGTGGACTGTTTTTTCGTATTGTCCAACTGATGAGATAGACGTTTCGTCATCAGGACGAGGGCTAGGTATCTTAATTAATAACAGGATGAAAACCCTCTTAGACTACATCCCGTATAAGTAAAGAAAAATAAACAATCACCTCCCCTATCTATTCTGATGTATATTTAAATCCAATTATCATCCTCTCCCCCTTTTTCTTTCTTTCCCCTTTTCTCGGAACAAACAGCAAGGCAAACCAGACCATTTTCCTTTTCACGATGCAGATAACCAAACCCCTCCTTGCCGCCGCGCTCATGCTTGGGCCTACGGTTATTGCGGCTCCTACGGCTTTTGATGTAATTTGCTACCTATTTTATACCCCCCCCCCTTTACTGTATATATCCTAGCTAACAAACTCCCCATCAAAAAAGGCCACGGCAGTCGCACCCCGCGAAGCCCCCAAAGTCATGGACACCAAAGACCGAAACAACGACAGACATCACGACCATCATCACCATCACGATGACCATCATCACCATCACGATGACCATCGCCACCATGATGGCTGGAATCATCATCACAACAACAATGGTTGGAAGAATGGTCATCGATGGGAAGGTCGCGACGTACAACTAGATGTTCGCGGCGGTGGCGGTGGTGGTGGTGGAGAAGGAGGAGGAGGGAAAGGAGGAAAGGCCGATGTGAAGATTATGAAAGAAGTCGAGGTCAAGAAAGGGTTCGGTGGTGGTGGTCATGGAGGTTGGGGAAAGGGGAAGCCCGAGTATAATAAGGGGGGATATGGAAAGGAGGGCGGTTGGGGTGGGGGGAAGCCCGAGTATAAGGGAAAACCCGAGTATAAGCCCAAGCCCGAGTACAAGGGAAAACCCGAGTACAAGCCCAAGCCCGAGTACAAGGGAAAACCCGAGTACAAGCCCGTGTACAAGGGAAAGCCCGAATACAAGGAAGGTGGCCATGGCAAGGAGGGGTGGGGAAAGCCCGACTATTCCAAAGGAGGACATGGCAAGGAAGGCGGCTGGGGAAAGCCCGAATTCAATAAGGGCGGTTATGGAAAGGGAGGATGGGGAAAGGCCGGACACCCTTGATTGATGCAAGAAGAAAATGAGATGGAATACCAAGCAAACCAAGTCGGACATTGAAGCCACCCCTTCCCCCCCTTCTTACGCCTATTTCATTTTTACTTATAACCAATACCTACACATACGTACCTACATTAATAACCCCACAGACAGTAATATAGCAGATGAATAATCAAGTCATTTCAATATCATCTAATCTACCTATATTTTCTTGCTAGTTGCTCTTGGGTTCGATGATGTTTTTTTGCCTTGGTAGGTGATAGGGGGTAGTAGTTTGACTTACAAGTAAGAGCGAGGTATTGCCTTGATGCCTTAGGCTATAAACATGGAATTCACCAGCAAAACTACGTCGCGGCAACTGTTACGTATGCCCTTTTTTATTCCAGTATTCCTGAAATAACAACAAATACAGCACATCACAAACTCAAAAGACACTTAAATAATTAAACCAGCTCTTTACCGTCATGTTAAATAAACACCATCATGAAATAACAAGAAATGAATTGCGTCCAAAGTCTGGCGACAGGGGAGCCACTCTTCATCAATTGAATTGTAGATCCAAAATGACAACAACACAAAAAACATGGCAAGGTGGCCGAGCGGTTATGGCGGTAGACTCAAGTTACATTGATAACTTTCCCCATGAACTTGTAAAAGAAAAACATGGGGAATTGTGGATTTCTACTCTCGAAAGAGGCATGGGTTCGAATCCCATTCTTGTCAGACTTTCTTTTTTTCTTTTTTGATAAAATTGCTTCTTAAACTCACGGGAAGAGAGGGGAGGAGTAGATGTTTAAACAACATTAAAAAGTAATTTTTTTTTTTTTTTTTGTAAAACTATGAGAAAGGAGGATATCATGATTTTGTAAGACTTTTATATATTTTATATAGAGATGATGGGTAACCGTAAATTGGTAGAACTTTCAAGACACGTGATTCTTTTTTTCTTCTTATTTCTCATCTTTAAATCAGGTTGGCTCATAGCTCGTCATCTTTCAAGTCATCCAAACCTCCCCTCATCTCTCATCCCCTACCTAATAACCCATCTACAACTCCAACTTGACCTTGAAAGGCTCCAACCCCTCAACACCAACATCAACTTTATAAACCGCGCCACTCAACCGCACCCTCTCCTCATCCCCATCCCCATCCCCACCCCCCTCCTCCATCTTCGCAGTCGTAATAAACAACTCGGTCCCGACAAACTGCGTACAGGTGATATTATCAGTCGGGAGATTAACCTGCCCAATCAACTCGCCCTCTTTCGAAATCTTCAAGACTCTCGCTTCGCCATACACGGCATGCCATAGATTTCCCTCGACATCTACACGACATCCGTCCGGCTCGCCTTTCCCCACGTGTTGATAGAAGACGCGTTCGTTGGATAGGGATCCGTCGGCCGAGGTGTCGTAATCGAATGCGTAGATGGTTTTGGCCGTCGAGTGCGTGAAATACATGGTTTTGCCATCGGGGGACCATGTTAGTGCGTTGGGGATTGTGAGCGGGTGTTTGATGCTTTGGGCTTTGGGGGAGCCGGGGTTGAAGAGGTGGAGGTGGCCTGTTGGTTTTGTATATAATGATGATTAGTTTTCTTTAGTTTTCTTTACATGATTTGATTAATTGTATTGAGATGAGATGTCGGACACGGATTGGGTAAGTATGTGTTCAGCGCCGCATTCATTCTCCCATGAATAAGAGACGGGCAAAAAAAAAAAAAAAAAAAAAAAAAAAAAAAAAAAAAAAAAAAAAAAAGAACATACCCTCAGCCCTCAAATCCAACCCGATATCAGTCATACTCCCCAACCAGAACCTCCCATTCGGATCCGCCGCCCCGTCATTACTCCTCAACCTCTTCCCCTCTTCTTCATTATCGAAGAACCTCGCGACATACTCATACTTCCCCTCACCACTCTTCCTATCCAAGACCGCGATACCATGTTTCACACCGATCAGGATCTTCTCGCGCGGATCGACACCCTCGATATCGGCAGTTACCGTGACGGGGACATCGAGTTGCGTAGTCGTCACCGAGTTAGGTCCTTCGGAGAGATTGACCCAGTGTACGCGGTGTTTCTTGATGTCTACGAAGCGGAGACTGTTGCTTTCGCGCTCGTAGTATGGTCCTTCGGATAAGGCGCAGTGGAGGTGGAGGTATGGTTCTGTGACGTTCCATTCTTGGAAGTCGGGCTTGGTTGTCGTGGTTGTCGACATTGCGCAAAGGTTAATTGGATAAATTAGTATTGGAAATGTACGCAGACTGATATAGTATCTTTCCCACGACTGTATTTCTCCTCCTTTATGTCGTCTTTTTATGTTCTTCGTTCTGTTTGTTCGCGGTCGCGAGGGGACTAAATAAGGAGGGGTGCGGGATGGTGGGACCTCTAATTGCGCCCGATCTCGTCCTTGTAGCTGTACGAGTAGTCGCGGCTTCCGTCCCGTCACGTCGTTTGATCACCTACTTTTGTACCACCTAATAAGTTTAGGATGGCTGATGCGAATTAACAAACGTTAAAAAAGTCAAATCTGAATAGAAAGGCGTTTGTCTTGTCCTCACGTGGAATTGCCTTATACTTCAATTCCCCTCATCCAGGGAATTTAGACTGCTAGTGTTTCATTTAAATCGAACGGGGTACCCACGTTATCGCGTGAAACAGGGCATGTTGGGTTTACTAGAGATGGTAGTTACAGACTCCGAGTGAGAATTGTCCGGATAAGCGGGCCTCTGAGCCGTCGAGAATACTCGAAGCTGGGCGTTTTCTCATCTAAACAATTGCTCGCCTCTGCAGAGCAACGGTAGCTATTCTCCCGCCGGCTCAACTCAGAAGGGCACACCCGCCTCTTGACCTTGGTCCGTCCAGGTCACCAGCTGCGGCTCCCTTGCTCTATTTTTCGACGCTGGAGACAAGGAGACAAGGTGTCGCTGCCATAAACTAGCGCATAGCCATGTATATTCCGCACCCAAGTCGAGGCCAGGCGCCCTTTGGTTCAACATCCGTACGGGTAGGTAGGCCTTGAAACCTCCAGCATGAAAAATGTTAGCCTTTGCTTGGGGGTGCTCCAGACTCCGTGGGATAATACAGAGGGGTGAATCTGACTATCCACCACGCCGCTCCTTTCGGTCCGGGTTCACCTAATGATGGGGTGGTATAGCTCGTGTTTGTACCATTAGTTCACATCGTGAAGTTGAAGAGACAAAACACTTACACGTACGCATTGCAACTGCTGCGCCCTGCATTCTGTGTCCTGTGTCCTGGTTAGCACCTAAATGACAACTATCTTGGTTCATCGATTAACATCTGACAATTGATCCAAAATCGACGAGTCGACGTGGTCTTGTTATTCAGGAATCGTATTCTGCCAAGAATTGATTGACCGCCAATTGGTCCTCCCGTGTCCAGTAGGGCTGCGACCTCGAACGCTCTGCTGCGCTGTATATACTAACGAGCACTACCGAGGGAAACTAATCTTCACCGCTACGGAATGGATCCGGCCAAGGAAAAGAACATGCCTGGAACAGTGACCGCTATTCGGCCCCGTTGGACCATCGTTCCCATCTTTTAGACGTGACCGAAAGCATCGTGAATCATGTATGATGCTTCATTCAAGACTTGATGCAAATATCGTCATGCACGGTCCTGCTCGACCTATGCATTGTAATGTCGGTGTAGGGTTATCGATACCGGCACGCTCACTTTCTGTCCCTTTTTGCCTCTTCTCGGATTGACCTTGACCGGCAGACGGAATCGCCCTCCCCGGAAGACGGACAGCAACGCATCTTGTTGTTGGCATATGGGTATATGAACGCATGTTGCATTGCAGCAAGAGACCCAGCCACCATGCAACCTTTTCGTTCCATGTGCAAATAAAGTTGGGTCGGCTAACATCGCGGTGAAGGAGTTGAACGCCGGCGGCGGCGCCACGATATGACAGGCATCTCGCCTGCCTGAGGACCGGCGAGCAAAGGCGCAAAACCGCACCTCTTGCTGAACTGGCCAACGGATGGGTCGATGGAATGGATAGCTGGACAGCTAGGGAACGCCAAGTGGACAAATAAAAAAAAAGGTCCGTTTTGCCACTTTCTTCAGCGTCGAGTCCCAACAACCACATGACCGCGACTCGATGCGGTCCGTCTGTCTCACCTGGATAACTGCTGATTCTTCCGAGCGATGGAAACAATGCACAAAACTCGAAATCCGACAAATCATTTCTCCATTTCCACCGTCCCCACTCTGGTACTCGGGTAGATGACCGGCTGTTTCGAGTTGAGATTCCGGGGACCCGAAACCCCTTGTCTGGACGGAATGGCCGTGGCAAGTCGTAAAGGGGTGAGAATGTTCAACCTTTGATCCGGGACGCTCGCTGGTGGGGCAAAATACGTACGAGTAGGTAGATCGATCAATACTTGGGTAAGAGGTAGAAAGTCCCACGTGAATACGGTGCCCGAGTCCAGAAAGCTTCTAGCAAAAGTCGAGTGAGACTGCTTATCCACCAATAACCTACATAGCGGGGGACCTACTCGTATCTCTCAGCACAAAGGTGACCAGATAGACCTGCTTGTCCTTGGACCGTGGTGTGCTGTACGAGTGACTACCTAGAGTGTACTTGCAATTCAGAGTGGAGAGGGTACACGATGCATGAAATTGCATACTCGTACAAGTACCCAAGTTACTGTTGAAGGTTACATTAGGTATCAGATAGTACCAATTGTCCCGCTTGTCAGCTAGCAGGTGGCGGAGTCAAACTAGGGGAAGCAATCCGGGGGCCGGGAGCATGGCAATGGTTCGTGTTGCTGGGGCTCGATTATCTATTGGTTTCGATAAGAGGTGAAACCGACCAGACTCGTCATTTTCTTTTTTCCAACTTCATAATTAGATTTTGGGGGCCTTTGGACACAAAGTTAGAATCAGCCTGGTACGGAAGGAAGGGATAGGAATGGAAAGAGGTGCGATTTGGGCATGGTGAAGGAATGTGTTGTGAAGAGGTACCTATGATTGATCGACTGACCGTGTCTACGCATTATACGCATGTATGTATGAATGAGCGCATGTGCGCATGGAAATCTGCACCCTTTTGCTCAATCTGTATGGAGACGGTGATTTGCATATGTGGTCGGTATGTGCGTGTACGTGGTTCGTCAAGATTTGGTGGATTTTCACTTGTCCCTGGGCCACATCCATTTCGGGTGTCACGCAGATGAGATGGGAGGTGAGACGTGGGCGCATGCTAGATTGAGTTTGGTTCCCTGAAATCTGACAGCGAAATGCCCAAAATACTCACCTATAGGATCGCTCGGTCCCAATCGTCCCCTAAGGATTTTTCAGGTCTTGGTCTTTGGAAAGAAGACAGAAAAGATGAGAAGTGATAAAAGCTGACGGGGCAGTCTCAGTATGTGGACTCGATGAGAAGTGTCTCTAATGATGTGAAATCATCCAGAGAAGGAACGAGGGCAAAAGCAACAACCAACATAATTACCTACTCGTACAGCACAGGTATACAGTATATTCAGAAGGCAGCTACGCACGTTGGAATGTAATAGGAGGCCTGAAAGGAGTACCAAATTTACATGTATGTACAGTTCTCATCGCTGGAACATATGCAAGTGTAGTGATGACTACTTGTAGATTACGAGTACTTGTAAAACGACGACATCTTTGACCGCGCCATATCTTACAATACAGTGTGTAGCTCTATACTATTTTCTACCCCAAGTACGGATATCGGAA